AGCGAATCCATGAAACGTTGGAGCGGGATGGGAGATGTGCTACGTTAGGATGCGCAACGTTGAAGAAGATCAGAGTTCCGTTCCGGCTGGGCAGAGTGTTCTTCTGCCATGGGGCATGGTGAAGGCAGTTAGTCCGCAGAATGTGGGCGGGGTCGCGGGGAGTAGCTCGCTTGAAAGCTGGGCAACCGAAGCGGGAAGGGAGTTGAAGAGTAGAGAACAAGGTGGACTGTTCCAGTCGCATGGACGATGCGGGATGACGTGAACGGCGGCAGCAGGACCGGGAGCGGAGCGGGGCCGTTAATTTGGGCGGGAATCGCGGGAACACCGGAGATGATGTGGCGGTAACCTGGGCGGCGGCTGGGGAACCGGAGGGGAGGAGTTAGTTAGTCCTCATCAAGGCCGAGAGGCGCGCAAGATGCGGCGTGGCAGTTCCTTTTTATGCATCCAGTTGATAGTGACGGAGCCTTGCACGTTCCTCTAGACCAGGAAATGGAAGCCATAGTTGACATCGGCTTCACTGTCACCGCTGTGCCCAATCCAACAAAGCTTCGGAGAGGAGAATGCGAGCTGCCGCCGTCGCCGAAGTCCGCTTTATGAGATTGCAAGCCCATCGGGGATGGGCGAATGGGATCCCCTCGCCTGTCTTTCATATTGAGTGGCCAACGAAGCAACCAGCGTATTTTTAATGACCTACCAGTCGTTGCAGAACCAATCGAATCACTTCTGAACCATTTAAACCAACCAATCAAATCATATCAAATCAATCAAATCAACAAATAAAATCAATGAATCGATCGATCGACGTCATTGTCTCACCCACGTGATGCAATCGACCTGTCGAGCGATTTAGTAATTAAGTCGCTATTGCAAGCAGAGACATCTCTTGCGCAAGCAGAAAAGCAAGGGTAAACGACTTGATCTGAAAGCAAGAGGCAACGACTCTTACGCAAGCAGAAAAGTAGAGAGGAAAGGGACAAGTAGGGTAGCAGGCAGGCAGGCAGGCAGGCAGGCAAGCAAGCAAGCAAGCAAGCAAGCAAGCAAGCAAGCAAGCAAGCAAGCAAGGAAGGAACCAAACAAGCAAGCAAGGAAGCAAGCAAGSAAGGAACCAAACAAGCAAGCAAGGAAGCAAGCAAGCAAGCAAGCAAGCAAGCATGGCCAATCTCTTGAGTGAGTTAGAGCGGTTCGAGGCTGAGATGAAGGAGCTAGGGTCGGAACCGTCGACGTCGCATCCGCCGCCTGCTCATCTGATCGCTCGGACCCCGCTGCCTCCTCCGCCTCCTCTACCTCCTGCCGGGGGGGGGCCGCCCCTTCCTCCTCCTCGCCCAGGGACATCAAATCACGTAGTTCCTTCGTCAAACCGAACTCCTCCTTCTCCTCCACCGCCTCCAGGAATTTCATTGCCATTCAACGGTGGGACGTTGCCTCCAAGACTTCTTGCTCCTGTTTTGTCACCCCCTGGTTGCGCGCCGTCGTCTATGTCAGTGCCAGGAACGTTCCTTCAGCAACAACGGGTTAGTATCCATCATCTCCTACTTCCTCCTCTAGTCCCAAAAAATCTGTTGTCTGTTTTTCTCGGGAATTACGGTCTTCACGGCTCGTGACAAAAAAAATCCTTATCCCGCAGTGTGAAATTCCTGAAAGACGAAAAGAGAAGAGTTCCCGAACGACCTTCCACCCTTGCAGCTTTCAGGTTCTTTCCTACACTACTTCTGCTGTCACTCTCCCCAAACGCCCTTGCAATCCTGGAACGATCAGGGCGCTACCCTATCGTCGTTCGCCGAACGGAACCGTTATGACAATTTCGTACGGCAATCTATAAACAATGAATTATAGTAATACTGGTTCGATGAAGGATTATGACAATCTCGCAATGTATGTCTTTTACATATAATTACTATACTATTACTAGCATATGCACATATCTCAACGAATCAAACAAGAAAAAGCTAGATCAGAAGAAAAAGACTATTTAGGCATTGTGAGGCACAGCCATTTTCCGGTAGTCTATATCTTTGTATCTTTCTTTATCAACAATAAATAAAATAAATAAAGAACGTGTAATCTCTGAGTAGAAAGCATGACCTCCTCAAGTACAACTGTAATTAGAACTGCAATCTTGCCTAAAGGTAGCTTTGATGGCCTTTGCCTCTTACTGGAGAAAAGGACGGTAGGCGAGGCCTCTGGATCTGGCTGAAGTTCTTTCCCTTTTTTTTCTTAAATACTACAACGAAAATTTGACGACCTGTGCATCATCTGTCTGTGTTGTCTTCGACTAGCTGCCTGCCTTATGTATTCCTACTGTTCGACCTGGAGGAGACCGATGAAATGGAGGAGGCAGGCATCCCGCCTTTTTCTGAATCTCTGTGCTGCAACTCACCTACCGGTAGTCTTGATCTATCTATGGGCAGAGACCTTTCAGGGCGGATCGATCGGTCGCTGGCTAACTAGTACCGTCAACGGAAATTGCTACCTTCATGGCGGCCCCCCCCCAAAGGGGTAAAATGCGCACCCCCTGTTTGGGTAGCTAGCTACCCCTCTCCTTGTCCTCTTTTTTTTGGTGGTTCTCCGTCGTTCCCTTTGTTGGGGTCCTCTGTCAGTCGTCCTTTCAGGTCGTCGTTATTCACTTTTTGCAGTCGCTGTGCTATGGCTGACAACAACGCCCCGTTATTCACTTTTTGGAGTCGCTATGCTAGCGTCAGGGTTTGAGGAAGACGTTACAAGAACCTGCGTTCTAGTTATCGACGGGTTTTCTTCGTCTCTCTCTTCGTGCGATACACAGCTCCTTTCCCGCCGTTTCTCTTTCTCGAAGTGAAAAATGAAAAAAAAAAAACCCTTTCTCTGTAGGCTAATCTACTGAATAGAATAGAATTTGATTGACCTCGTCAGCGCCAGTTTTAGCTGTAGGTTTAATGGGTATTATGTGTAGTATATATATACATATATATATATATGTATTATGCAAGCTGCCATAATGGGTATTGTATGTATTATGTATTTGATTGACCTCGTCAGCGCCAGTATTGATTGTAGGCTAATGAGATTATTGCTGTCATAATCCACGTATTGGAGAGGAGGGAGGGAGGGGTTTGGACCTTGCGGATGGAAGATGCGCTCTGAAAAGGCTGATGCATCGCCCCTCCCCCCCCCCCTTCCACCTTCTCTATCTCGGCCATTCTCGATCATTCCCTGTTCTCATCTGCCTCCAGCTCTCTCTCGATTTATCTCTGTGACCACCTACCTCCTCCGTATGCATCATCCGCGCAGACGTCCGTCTCAAGCCAGATATCTGAAGTCGCGTTCTGAAGCGCAAGTACTTCTACTGACGCCTACCGCTTATCATTGCAGCAGATCTTCCCCGGTCTTCGGAGAGGCTAGCGATATGGACGACCTCAACCGATCTATACCTATCACCACAGAGCGCTCACCTGGCTGGGTCACTCTCGCTATGTTCTCGCTTCGCTGCGCATGATGACAGTTCCATCCGCACTCAAGGTGAAGGAAGAGGATGGTGGCGATTGCTGATCGTCAGCTATCAGGTGCCTTTCCAATCTAACATGCCGCGCAGTGCTGGTACCCATACCGTTAAGTCGTGTCCGTCTCGTTGCGGACATCTGCAACGTCCCACTTGACTATTTGGCAATTCTTTCGGTGACTTGCACGGTCGCCCTCACTAAACCAACAAGAATCTGGACTACGGTTCACATTGAGTCTGACTGAGATTGGATTGACTTTTTGTGCCATTATTTGTTTGTCTTTTTTTGTTTCGTTTTTGTTTTCGAAGTTTTTTACGCGTAGAAGCAAATTCTCCGAATTTATGACCCCGCTGCTTTCTGTCCCCTACTTCCTCCTCTGTCCTTGTTCTTCATGCTCCGTCCTTCGCCTCTTTTCTCTTCCTCCCTTCTCTTTGCGCTACCCTTTTCCTCCCTTTTTCTTGGTTCCTCCTCCTCGCTGCCTTGTCTTTCATTTTTCTCCCTTCCCTTGTCTTTTCTCACCGTCCATCCTTCTCTCTCTCTCTCTCGTGCTTTCTTGCGTCCTTCTCTTCTCTTCGACTTCTTCTTTCCCCCTTCTCTCTTCTCCTCACGCGTCCCATCTGCCGCCTCTGCGCTACTCTCGTCCTCCTCCCCTTCCTTCCTCCTCCCTCCCCTTGTTTTTCAGTGTGTTTCTTTCCATTCCTTTCCTCTTTTGTCTATGCTTTCCTCGCTTGTCTATCCTTGTTCCTTGCTCCTCTTTCCCCCCTTTCTAGGGCATTCATTTCGCCCGCAGCGAACGCCATGCGGCGTAATTCGTGAACGCCAGCTCGAATCAATCAACTTGTCGTCTGTGAAGCCCGCCTCCTCGACCGTGCCACTCCTGCTCGTCATACCGGCCTGTATCCTCCTCTGTCTAGTCCTCCTGTGACAACGTACCTCTGCTCGACTGAGTTGTGTTGAACACGCATCAGCTTCTTCCAGTCAAGCTCGCCTCGCCCTCGAGTTTACTTCTAACAGTGGCACTTCGGSGGGGGGGGGGGGGAAGGGAGGTCGTCCAGATTTTCGTCACCGCCATGGATGCCGCCGAGAAATTGGAACTACGCCAAAAAAAAGGCCTAACTTACTCTATAGTTGTAGAGGGGCGAGTAACGGGGGTGGTCTTCTTTTTGTCCAATCGCGCGCGAGCGTGACCCACGAGACCCGCGTGGCGCCTTCTTGCGTTCGTGTGTGTGTGTGTGTGTGTGTGTGTGAGAGAGAGAGAGAGAGAGAGAGAGAGAGAGAGAGAGGTTGGCAGTTCCGTGGGAGGACGGAAGGCGGCTTAGGCTAATATGTGTGTGTGTGTGTGTGTGTGTGTGAGAGAGAGAGAGAGAGAGAGAGAGAGAGAGCGTAATGGTTGATATCTTAGGATTAGAGGAGCTCTTGAGGCGCGTGCTTTGTACGGAATCCATGCTGAATATTTATGAAAAGTCTGCTTTTTCCTATAGTCCCATGATTGGTTGCTGACGGCGCGTCGAGCATCAGAACTGACGTTTCTTTGCTGCCATTTTGTTGTTGTGCTCTGCTGCCTTTTTGTTGTCTGTCGTTGTGTCCGTGCCTGTCTTTCGTTTTGTGCCTTCCTTTCTTGTTTTTTTTTCTTTTCTTTTGTGTGTACGTGCCCCGGGGCGCGCGCGGGAGAGATTCCGGTGTGTTTGGCATGGCGAGTTGGCTTACAATAACCATCTGGTTTTCAATCGCAGCAGCAGCAGCAACAGGCTGAAGAACAGCAGCAACAGTCGCAGAAGCAACACCAAAGACAACAAAAGCAGCAGCAACAGCAGGGGGAGTCGGCTGCGGCGGCTCCTCCGCCTCCGCCTGCACCCCCAGGTGGTTCTCTCTCGCATCAGGGACCCCCAATCGCTCCACCTGGCCTGCCTACCCCTCCTTTACGCACACCTCCTCCTCCACATGTCTCAGCCTCTCCTTTGTCTGCTGGAACCGTGGCGCATCCATCAACCCTACCTCCCTTGGGCGCAGCCGCCTTGCACCCTCCGTCTTCCGCCGTGGTGCCAAGGCCTCCCCCGCCTCCATCTCATGGGTCCTCACCTGCACCGCCACCCTCGACAGTGGGATGCGCGCACTCGAGCGAGGGGGGGGCAGCTGGCACGAAGGGCGGGGCGGGTTCCTCCGCACCTTCAGCGGCGCCCGCTACACCTCCCGCTCCGCCGCCGCCCGATGCTCCCTCAGCTCGCCCGACGTTGACAGCTTCGTCTCCCACACCACCCCCGCCGCGTCCGCCCGGTTTCCCCGCCGGCAAAGTCCACCCTCCTCCGCCATGGGCCACACTGAGTGCCGTGCCACCCGTTCCAGGATCGTCATCGTCCTCGATGCTGCGCCCTCCATCCCTACCCCCTCGGCCGCCGCCGCCGCCGCTGTCCTCTGCTGTATCCCAGCCCCATCCTTGCTTTCCGACGTCTGGCGCACCTGGCGCATCTTGCTCGCCGATGCAAATGCCGCGTCCCCAATACGTGCCGCCAAGCCAGGTACCATTTTCCCTGGGCCCATCTGCGCCTTCGTCGGCACCTTCCCTGCCTCCTCCGCCGGGAGCTCCCCCTTCTGCTCCTCCCTCTTCAACACCCTTCTTTCCAGTGCCACTTCATTTGCAGCCGTCCCAGTCCCAGCAGTCGCCGCCCGCGCCGGGGCCGCCGCCATCGTCGTCTTCAGCGGCGGGTGCGCCGCCGCCTCAGCAACAACAGCAGACGGTATTGCCCCAGCCTTCACAGGCGAAGGTTCAACCCCCCCCTGCGGAGCCAAGGCCGTCCACTCCTCAGGAGGAGCAGCAGCAATTGTGGAAACCACAGCAACAATCGCCTCATCAGCAACAACAGCCGCATGGTGTTCCACCACCTTCTCTGTCTCTGCCCCCGCCTCCGCAATTGGTTTACCCACCCCGTCTGCTCCCTCCTTCCCATTTTCCTTCCGGACCTCTTCCTCTACCTCCATTTCCTTCTCATTTCCCAGTACATCTGCCTCCTCCGCACTTGCTTCCACATATCGCTAGTCTCTTTCCGCCGCATCTCCCTCCTCTGTTCGCCCCGCCTCCACCCCCTCATTTCTCCTCTTCCCTTCCCCCTGCTAACCTGCCGTCTTCTCAGCATCAGCAACACCTACCTCAGCAGCAGCAGCAGCGGCAGCAGCAGCAGCAGCAGCAGCAGCAGCATCTTCAGCAGCCACAGCCGCAGCCACTGCAGCAACAGGTGCAGGATCAACATCAGATGGGTTTAGGTCAACAGGCTCAGCTGTCCCATGTCCCTCTCCCTCTTCAGGTTCATTACCAGCCCCCCGGCGGACCGTATCAAGTGCAATATCCGCCCCCGAACTCCGATCCCAACGCCGCCTCAAGCTCCGATCACCATCATCAACAGCAGCACCTGTACGCCAATTCCAACCAGCAGCAGCAGGTAACACTCCCTTCACTTCATTGTCTACCTTGATACAAACGAATCATCGTCATCATCTGTCCGTCGATTTCCATACTACTTGCTCTTCTCTTAATTGCGCTGCCGACTACCTTCCACCTATTCTCAATGGTTCTCATCACTTTTTTTTTAACCTTTTTTTTACAAAGAACTCGTTATATTTTCACCTCGTCTTCTCCCGTTTCCGTTCTTTGCAATTTCCCTTCCGACTGCTTTGTCTGCCTTTCAGTCCCTTTCCCCCTCGTTTTGTGACTCTGTACCTTTTCCCCGGCTCTGCATTTCCCTCGTCTTTTTAGCTCTTTTGGGTCTTTTCTCGGCCGTGCATAAGTCGGTCTTTACCTCTGCTTTTAGACTTTTTTCTATCTCCCCTCCATGGTACAACCGATATGTGTATATGATGATATATACGATGATATATACGATGATGTATATGATGATATGTATGATGATATATATGATGATATATATGTATACATATAATGTGTATAATACAGTTTGTTACAGCCCCTCGTTTGTTGTCCTGTTCTCCCTCTCTGCCTACGATATATATGTTAAGGTGGATTATCACTTACAGTGTTGAGGGTTCAGCCTCCTGGTGAGTCGGTGGAACTCCGACAAACAGTTTGTCACAGCCCCTCGTTTGTTGTCCTCTTCTCCCTCTCTGCCTACGGTTTACCGGGCAGCTATGTTTGACGATATAAGAATTAAAAAAAGAACAAATTGCCGAAGAAAAGAAAAAAGATGGGGTGTGTCATTCGCTTTGTTTGACTGATAGGCCTTCCTCTTCCCTTGTCCTTTCTTTGACTGAATCCCTTTCTCTTTTTCTTGCCTCTGTGAGGTTTGGTTTCCTCCTTTTCTTTACCTCTTTGCCTTTTGCCTGCATGCAAGTGGGTCCTTGTGACACGCGGGGATGGGGACAGCCGGCGCTCAACCTGGCAACCACGTGGCCGGCCTTGTACGTAAGAGGTGATGAATTCCTTCTTTCCTTTTCCGATACGCGGTGTGACGATATATATACAGCCTCCTGTTGAGTCAGTCGGTGAAACTCGGACGAAACAGTTTGTCACAGCTCCTCGTTTGTTGTCCTCTTCTCCCTCTGTGCCTACGGTTTACTGGGCAGCTCTGTTTGACGATATATTATATATGCTGTGCTGAAGTAGCTCTCCTTGGGTATCCTTGTGAACATCCACGTCATCCTCAGCGTGCCTGTCCTATCTGCCGGGTGGGGGCTCCTCTTCCTGACTGGTCAATAGAATCAAGCAATCAGGAGCAACACTAATTGTAGGACAGATAAAGCTTTCGATACTACCAACAGATGTGGAGTTGAAGAAAGAAGAAAGAAAAAAATGAAAAAACAAAAAGAAAAAAAGAAAGAAAGAAAAAAGGTACAAATATCTGAAGATATGTTGAACTTTGTAGTGACAGTGGCAATTGGTTTATCTGTGGGATGTGTCATTTGCTTTCTTCCTTTGTCTTTTCTTTGAGTGGATCACTTTCTCTTTCTCTTGCCTCTGTGAGGTCTGGTTTCCTCCTCCTTTTTCTTTACCTCTTTGCCTTTTGGCTGCGTGGAAGTGGGTCCTTGTGACACATGGGAATGGGGGCAGCCAGCGCTACCTGTCATCCACGTGGCTGGCCTTGTACGTAAGAGGTGATGAACAGGTGGGGCTTTCCTCCCTTACTTCTTTTCCTTTCCTTGTTTTGCTTTTTCTGCCTTCGTGCTCTGATTCACAGTGTGACAATATATATGCTGTGCCTCTAGTGCACGCGGCGTGTCTGGAGTTGTATTTTTTGGCTGTGACAGACCTTTTTGTTTCGTGGGTGTTTTTCTGGCTTGTGATGGGGCGTGAACCAACAGTGTAGAGTTTTCCATCTGGTGTGGGTGAGTGATAGTCTGCTTTGATTTTCGTCACAGGTACCTTGAGGCCGGTGGTTGGTGCCCACCTCAGGGTATCAGTTGTCGGGCAGTTGTTGATGCTTAACCACAACCGGGGTGAAGGTGGATTATTACTTACAGTGTAATCAGTTAGGGGATTCTGCAGACTGTTGAGGGTTCAGCCTCCTGATGAGTCGGTGAAACTCTGACAAAACAGTTTGTCACAGCCCCTCGTTTGTTGTCCTTTTCTCCCTCTCTGCCTACGGTTTACTGGGCAGCTCTATTTGACGATATACACATGCATATACATACTGTCATTTATGTATAGTACATATAACGTATTTGTATTAATTTTTACGTACATTTTATTTGCAAGCATGTATTTCCAGTTCCATAAAGGTTAACGTAAAGGTTCAGCATTTACGTCTAGTTAGGTTGACAGTGTCTGTACTACTCGACCTGCTTGTGACTCGTTGAACTTCTGGGTAGCACGCCCGAGTAGTAAGGATACGAGTTCGCAGGAGTGGGCCTTTGGCTTTCCATTTACTGAAGACTGTTGGCCTTTCCTGTGAACTCGTATATGAGAACAATCCTTACTACTCAGGCGTATAGCTACATCACATCTATTGAAAAATCACACCTTTAGCAGATGCCCATGCGAGATCTGGAGAGAAGGTTACAAAAAATTTCAGCCCAGGTTTCCATGAGCAAATCAGTTCTAATCTTCCAATTGCCCATGGATCTTTCTACCGAGAATGCAGCAATCGAGTGGACATATTCCATATTTTCCCAGAATGACATCTGGGATATTTTTAGAAAATTTGTGTGCTGTGAGCTGTTGTGATGGGGAGCCTCTGTTTCTCGCCCTCTTTCATGCTCGCTCGCCCACCAGTAGATCCTGTACATAAATGTATGTCACATTCGTTCTTGCATGCGTTTGTGCAGGTGTTTGGGTGACCTGTATGTGTGTGTGCGTGTGTGTGTCTGTGTGTGTGTGTGTGTGTGTGTGTGTGTGTGTGTGTAGAAGGTCCACTCATGCAAACACCTTTACATACACTGCATGTGCGTAATGCAGAGAATGTAGCTCCCTCATGGGTC